GGGGGTGGGACCTGGAGGGCCAGGGATGCTGCACTGGCATGTTCCAGGTCAGAAATGAGCACTGGCTGGAAATGCAAACTTGGAATCTGGTCTTTGGGATCTATTACAAGTGCTTCATATGAAGAGTAGCACTGGGTGAGAACCACACCAGACGAGGGGCAAGGACTCAGAGAGGGCAGCTGTCCTTTCAGTCCAGAACTCTGGAAGGCAGAGATGTGGGTAGAACAGGAAAACAGGCTCCTTTCTCACAGGAGAACCAGGACGGTCCCAGGGAGGAAGTGAGTCAGGAGTGGGGACAGGAAGCAGCATCTCAAGAAAGCCCAGCATTTAATGAGCAGGGCCAGGTCCCTGTCACAAGCCACCTGCAGGGAAACACCAAGACTAAAGGGTGTCCAGGACACAAACACAGGGGCAGAGGTCCCCTGCCCATGCTTTCCTCCGCCCGAGGCCTTGCACACTTCGGGATAACCACCCCCACCCCCACCCCCCAGCACTTGGCATCCACTTCATTAAAGCAAATGGCTGCGAGGCTACTGCTGACCTACAGAACGCTACAGAAGGCTGCTTTCTTCCTGTCCTCACATCACCATGATGAAGCAGTGGGCGGAGCCAGCCCTGGTTAACTGTCACAAGTGAGGAACATTCCCAAGTTCTCAAATATCCAGCCAGAAAAGAAATTAATTCACTTCCACTCCCCCACCTCTTCCTAAACATGTGGCAAGAGTAAATCTCAACTTTCCACTCATAGAACATAAAATATTTCAGGATAAAAGAAACATCTCCAGGTCCCTCGGCTGCCTCCTGGAATTTTCTCCTTCGCAGTGATTGACAACATAGTATCACCCCAGTACCCTCCTGGCCCTATGACTCAGGGGACACGGCCAGACCCCACAAGGTCCTGCCGCTCCTCACCTGCTGCTGGAACCTCCCTCCATGAGGACACCAGGCAAGTGTCCCAGAGGCCTTCCTGAGGCCTCCTCACTAGCACCTCAGATACTTGAGGGAGTGCACATCAGCCCACCCAGCTGGGACAGATGCACAGGCCTTGGCCAGAGTGGCTGCCTGGCCAACCCATCCCCCTAGGAAGTGACAAACACGTTACAATGCACTGAGTTTTGTGGTGGTTATACAGCCGTGTCACTGACACAGAAACTGTCCGGAAGTGGGTGCTGCCACCACATCCTGGGGAAGGCAGAGTAAGGGGCAGCCAGGGCAGGAGCAGGAGCAGCAGGCTAGACAGGGCTGTGCCAGGCAGCAGAGGAACCACTGGTAAAAATGTAGCCACAGTCACTGGAAAGAGGAAAACGCTCGAAAGAACTTGTGGCAGAAAAGGAAGGTGTACAGGGCTCTGTGGAATGCACATGCTGAGCTGAAGCAAGAGGGAGGTGCCCACCCTGTGGGCAGAGCTGATGGGGACATGTGCGGTCACATGGTTTTATGTCTTCCACTTCCCACCCAGCAAAAGATTTTCAAAGTAAGAAATGGACTTAGGATAAAGACCAAATCAGGATGTTACTGGAAGATCCTCAGGTTTTCAGGCCGTGCCTGGCCAGACGAAGGGCTCCTACAAGTCCCCAGGCCACGGCCCCCCAGCAGCAGAGAGGGCCCGCCTCCAAGACCCAGGGAGCCAAGATGCAGATCCCCAACCAGCACAAAACCGAATCAGAAGAGCACGGCAGGAAGTCTGACTGGATCTCGTCTGCGTGCCTGGGCAGGGGCTGCACATGTTCTAGTTCAGTGTTGCTGCTCACTTTGTGCTTCTACATGTGCAGTGCACTTAAGGGTAACAAGGTATAAAGAAAGAAACACTCACATGTCACATACACAGCATCTGGAGGCTCTAGTCTAAGGCATCAGCTGTAGGAATCTCTGGGTAGTAGGAATACAGCCACTTTTATTTTTGCTTATCAGTATTTTCTAATTTCCTATCATTTATATTTTGTGATAAAAAATTATTTTTTTAAATATATCTTTATTGATTTCAGAGAGAGGAAAGGAGAGGGAGAGAGAGATAAAAACATCAACGATGAGAGAGTCATTGATTGGCTGCCTCCTGCACGCCCGACTGGGGATGGAGCCCGCAAACCTAGGCATGTGCCCTGACCGGAATCGAACCCCAATCGCCTGGATCCTAGTCGATGCTCAACCGCTGAGCCACGCTCGGCCAGGCAACAAATTATTTTCAATTTTGAAAAATCTACTGTGAGCTTCCCAGTAAAATGGCAAATCAAACATGGGATGATATGACCACGAGCCCAAACCCAGAGCCTGGGAAGCATGCCTCTGGAAGCAGGAACGAGAGGACTCAGAGGACGAATGGGATGAAAGCAGGGTGAGAGCAGTTACATCTGACACCCACTCCGTTTGCACAGCAACGCTGTCCCAGCCCTGCCTGCAGCTCCAGGCCCAGCCGGGATGGGCACTAAGGGAGCCCAAGAATTCTGGACAATGCGGCCCTCCTGCCACAGCCCAGCTCCCAACACCAACAGCAGATTCCAGGAAAAGGAGGGGGCATGTTGCTGTGGACTGAACTATGTCCCCAAATTCACATCAAAGCCCTAGTCCCAGTATGACTATATCTGGAGACTCGGTCTTCAGCAAGAAATTAAAGTCAAATGAGGTCATAAGGATGGGCTTGATCTGACAGGACTGTGGTGTTCAAACCAGAGGAAAAAAGAGCTACCTCCACCATGTGAGGCCTCACAAGCCAGGGAAAGTCCTCCCCAGACACCGGCCCTAGAGACCTTGGCCCTGGACTTCCAGCCCCTGAGACAGTGAGAAATGACCAGAGCACCCCATGAGAGTGGCTGTGGCGAGGGCTCCTCACAGCACCCAGGATACCCGGCCTTTTCCATCAACTGTCACTTCTGCCCACTGTATTCATCGAGGGCCATCCCAAATCCAAAGGAAGGGGCATGGGTGTCACCTCTTAGCAGAGCATGGGAGTTCACTGTAGAGCAAGTGGGGGGAGACACTGGTAGAAACCTGCCCACAGAGGCACACAAACAAGCTACCCGAGAATTTAGGTGGGAAAACCCACAGGCTCAGTCATACGCGCCATCAGTGGAGCTAGAACCCAGCAGAGCCAGCCGCCTCCACTGTGCCCGCAGGGCTGGAGAAAGAGCCTGGGCCCGGAACACAGTGTACAGTATGGCATGAGGGTGAGGGAGGCCCGGTCACCCACGCAACAGCTGCAAGTGGACCGTGCAAAGTGGTGACAACCCAGAGTCCTGTGTGCACCACAGGAACTGCGCCTGGGTCAGGCCCTGGTGTAGAACCTTCCTGCAAGCATCCTGTTAGAGAGTGGAAAGGTCAAAGCTCGCCCTGTGGTCAGTGACATGCTGAGGTCAGCGTGAACAGGCCACACTCAGGACACAGCAGAGAGACCCACAGGGGGCTGGGCCAGCCCAACCCCTCGAAGGTGACAGGCGGAGCACAGACGGGAGCCACACTGCTGTCACATGGCAGGTCCCTCTATGGAACGACAAAAGGAAGCCAGCGGTCAGCTCACATGCCAGCTTCTTTGCCAACTAGTATTCTAAGTGGACGTCTATTGTAAGAGATGAGGAGGAAAACGCTCAGTCACCATGAGGAATGTCAGGAAAATACTGGCTCTTCAACTTCATTATGAAACAACAGTTCCCAATTGTCCCTACTGTCCATCTTATCAAGGGAAATTCCAGATGTTTTTGGACCATGGTGATACAGGAGTCACAAGCAAGGACGAAGCACTATCTTGGCCAGGCTGATGCGATGTCCCATCTATCCTGCACACTCTGCACTGACGTGGGCTCAAGTCTGGTTTAGAATGACTCACACTATGGCAGACGCCCGAGATCCCACCGCCCCCCAGGGCACACGCCCATCCTCACCCATGAGCAGCCAAGTTGGTCGTCACCAGCACTGTCTTGACCTCCTCCACGCCACTGCCATCCACCGCGGTGTCAGGTGTCGTCACCACCACCACCTCCTCCATGTGCACGCTGACGTCTGGGGTCGCCATGACTCGAATAAAGAGGACACCCAGGACTAAGATGTCACTCTGCCAGGGTCCCAAGTCCTGGAGGAAACAACAGGCAGGGCACAGGGTCACGGAAGGTCCCGTCCCCACATCTGTACAACATAGCTCACTGTCACTAAAGAGCCACTCTCAGTCCCAGCACAGGACTTTTTGACAGAAATGATGACAAGAGGAGGGCTGTTCTGGGCTGCTGTCTGGTGAGGATGGAATGGGTACAACTGCCCATCCTGGCCACTGTGAGGGTTGAGGTCCCCGTGCAGAGCACTTGGATGGGCACCTGGGCCTGACAACTCAGACTCACAGCAGGGGCGGACAAGGAGGTCAGGATCCCGGCAGACTCCCTGCAGGTGAGTCTCTGGTTGTTACCTGTGCCTCTGTGTCCCAGGCTGCATCCCAGAGCTGTGCACAGAAAGCTGTTGCAGACGAGTCCTGTCTCTGGGCTGGGGAAACGGAGGGAAACCCACACAACCACCTGGAAAGGAGCTTGGAAGTTTCCTATAAAGTAGGTGTACTTCTCCTCCCACGTGACTGGCAACCCCACCTCCAGACACAGAGGCCAAAATAACTGTCAGCTGGGACTAACACAGATCCATACACCCAGCATGTGACAGCAGGGCTCACAACAGACACAAGGAGGGACCAGCCACAGGCCCATTGACAAGCTGTCCTCACCTAAATTTCAAAAACACAGAGCACTGAGTTTTGTGAACACACAAAATTGGGTCCCTGCCTCCAACGGCAACCGTATTACAAAAGTATTTCACAGAAAATTGCTGAAGTTTAGACACAGACCAAGCTCCACACCTTCCAGGTGAGCCCCAGCTTCATCTTCCCAGCCCCTGGTATAAGGAGGGGCCAAGGCCCAGGTCCAGTTCTAGGCACAAAGCTTCAGGTCCTTACTAGTGAAAACTGAGCCCCAACTAATTGAGAGTAAATAAGATATGGGAAAAAGTACTTTTAAAATAGCATGCTTGGGCATAAATACATAAAAATGAATAAAAAATGTTAGTGAGGTCAGTTTCTCAGATTCAGATCTGGCTTTCCTAATCTTCTGCAAAATCACAAATATTTTCCTTTTGTGGATGAAAAAGGTGTCTACAGGAAGTAACCTCACCAGTGGCCTGACCACAAATCCCTAACTGGTGGAGGTGGGTGGTCACACCCCAGGCCTATAACTTCTTTAGTAAAAGGTCTGTCTTTGCCTCAAGCCAGCCCTGTCCATTGTTTCTGTGCATCAAGGTTAACACACCTTTGCAATGCCCCTCAAAGACTCCTCCTTTTAAAGCATGTGCACATAATCCTAACTATCCTGTAATCTGATCCCCACCTAGCTTTCTCCCTTAATTCCAAATGCATAAAAGCTGCACACTGTCACTCTAGTGAGCATTTTTCTGTCTGTCAAGATCTTGCTTCCAGGCATATCCTCTATTTGGCTCCAATAAATTATTATAAAAACCCTCTACAGGTCTAGACCAGGAACGAGCATGGTTTCTCTGATCCTCTCAGCATTCCCAATTTTTAATTAGTTGCCAATTTTTTCAAAGTTTATAAAGTTCACATTTTAAAAATTTGGATTTCTAGCTTCTCTTGGAAAATGTCAGAAGAAGGAGTCTCTGGAGGTGGTCCCTCTAGTCCTGCCTTTCCCAGAGAATCTGGGCTTCTGCTTCCTGGCCAGGGGTGGGCAAAGATGCACCAGTTATCTCAAACATGCCCTCATCACACCCAGCCAGTCACACCCAGCTAGGCTGCACCAGGCACCTACATGTGCAGACCCCAATACACAGGAATTTGTTTGTGGCTCTGGAAAAACACTTGAGCAGCCTCCCCTCTCAGTTCAGACATTAACTGGCTTATTGTTTTAAGGCCTAGGTTTGAATATAGTTTTTTAAGTCTTCCAAATTCAGAGAAACACTTTCATGTTTGTGCAGAAATACGCAAATTCCTCCCCCTCCCAGTGTGTCTTTTCACACTTTTTAAGACACTTCCTATGAAAAAGTAATTTCTGAACAAGCAATCTGCTTAATTTGTTGTATTTGGGGTTTATTTAATCCCTTTGAATTTACCCTTAACAAGACTGACGTATAGTTTTGTGTACTGTTGGTGGGAATGCAAACTGGTGCAGCGACTAGGGTAAACTGTATGGCGTTTCCTCAAAAAATTAAAAATAGAAGTACCACGTGATCTATTTATCTGAAAGAAATGAAATCAGACCTCCGAGATACCTGCACCTGAGTTACCTGCACCCCCACATTCACTGCAGCATTATGCACAGTAGCCAATGTACGGAAGCAACCTAAATGTCCTTCGATGGACGAGCGGGTAAAAATGTGGCGTATCCATACAATGGAATATGTTAGCCTTCAGAGGAAATGCTGCCATCTGTGTCAGCACGGATGCCCTGGAGGACACCATGCTAAGTGAGATAAGCCAGACAAGAAGGACGAGCGCCCCACTGCGCTTCCAGGAGGACCTAGGACCGCCGGGCGCGGGCGCGGCGCGGTCCGGCTCGAGTTTCAGGCAAATCCCCGGCCCCCAGTGCAGCAGCGCCCGCGGCTACCAACACTGGAGCGCAGGCTCGACAGCGTGCTGAGGAGAGGTCTCGGGTTAAGTGCTTTTATCACAAAACAGCAAGAGGGTGAGAGGAAACTTCTGGAGGTGACGGGCAGGATTATGGTTTCCAGGTGTGCACTTATCGCCAAGCTAGAGTTGTCCACACAATCAGGGCAGCTTTTTATAGGTCCAAAACGAGAACAAGACGGACGGAAGGGAAACTGGTATCCGAAGTGTCAGCCGAGAAACAGAGCCGGCTCAGTGGAAAAAGCCAACCAGCTGAACGGATTATCAAGTTAGCCAAGGACCGGCAGGTCGTTACCAACAAGGGGCCCACGTGGACACTGCTCCCACCCGGGGACGACGGAGACGCGGGTCCCACGGGGAGGGGGCCCGCGCACACGCCTCCCACCCGCGGGGAGGGGCCGCCGTAGGAGGGGGCCCTCGTGGACGCGGATCCCACCCGGGGACGACAGAGACGCGGGCCCCACGGGGAGGGGGCCCCGCGCAC